TTTTTTACTAATATGTTCAGGTTATTATTGTTCCTTTTACTAGCAAGATGCCTATTGTAAATTTTATGTGTGTGTGTGTGTGTGTGTGTGTGTGTGTATATAAACTTAAAAGTCCATTTCTGACCTCAGAGGTCTTTAAAGGTTGTTTTCTATCTTTGAGTGAGAACCTAGTTGGGCAAGTGCTATGTGGAGCAGATGCTCAGTTGTTTTCTGGTTAGGTGTTTTTGGATGACCTGGTTCCTAATGTAAATACCTTTTTCTACTTGGGCATCAGTAGGAGTCTTTCTCATTTGTTTGAATTTTAATTATAGTTTATTTTAGAGGAGGTGTTGGTTAATCTCATCTGTGACTCCATGAACCCTCTCTGGTTTCAGTTCTAGCTTAAAACAGTAAACTCTGGACATTTTCTTTTTTACTATTCTGCATAGTTTTTGTTCTGTTTTCTTCAGTAATTCCTATGCAGAATCTGAATTTCCTTCTTCTGTTTTCTAGATCCATCACCTTTTTTTCCTCTCTAAAAGCAGCATTGTTTATATTAACAAAAACTAAATCTGTCACCTTTTACTTTGCGTCTTTTATTTTCTGTTTCATAGATGCATTTTTTATTTAAATCCCCATCTGTCCTTTTTGAGCAAATTAAAATGTCCAGTTTTATTTCTTTAAGAATAGATTTCAACTAGTGTAGATCCCTGTGATTTCTGTGGAAGACTTCTGAGGTTTGAGTGCACTTTTTAGTTTTTGCTATTGTTAAAAAGAGTTTTTTTTTTTTTTTCCTTTTGTATTGTGGAAGTTCTTCAATGATTTTCATTATCTTCTTTACTAGTTTACTTATCCTTCCTTTAAATTGTTGATTGTTACATGCACTGCTGAACTTTTTTGTTAAATGATTTTATGGTTTTTTGATAGTATTTTATATAGTATCAGTGGAGTCCGTGGGTGGTACGAATTGTGAATGGGCTTGGCTAATCAGAAGGTTGGAGGTTCAGGTCCATCCAGAGGTGCCTTGGAAGAAAGGTCTGGCAATCCACTTCTTAAAAATCAGCCATTGAAAACCCTGTGGAGCATAGTTCTACTCTGACACACATGGAGTTGCCATGGGTCAAAGTCAACTCAACTGCAACTAACTGTTTAATTAGTATCAATAGCAAAGAAATTCCAGGCATCCATTCTCCCATAATGTTATTTAATTATGTTTTTGACATGTATGTAAAGACAGATTTAATAAAACTACACATAATTAACTCATAGAAGTATTATATTAATGACAGTTTTCCTGTACTGTTTTTGGTATTAATTAAATTCTGTAAGTTTTAACTCAAAATGGAATAGAAGATTTTATAGTTACTTTATCCCTTATAATTTTTAACAAAAGCACCAATACTCATAGAATCCTTAAATGGACACATTGTTAGTTATGTGTTGTGGTGGGATGATGTGTTAGAGTGTCTCCTTGTAGCATAGATGCTTATTTGAAAAGTTATATTTAAAATGAAGTACTAAAACCAATACATTAAAAAGAGAAAAGAATTTCCTACATATTGGCTTATGTTTTCTAGATGAGTTCCAGTCTAAGATCAGAGAAAGATTTTCCTTGGAAAAATAACTGGGTCTCTTACATGTAATGCTTATGGGATACTTCTGTGCCGGATGTTGCATAAGGCAGCAACAATACAGGCAGTCCCCAGCTTACAAACATCCAATTTAACGTACAACCCCCATTAAGCCTATTATAACAAAAATTCAAGGTACATCCAGTGGTTGTAATCAGAAACACGTGCTACTTTGTGACGCACATCAAAACATTATTATTATTACTGTATGATTAAAGATGTTTAAGTGTATCTGGAAGTATTCCTTGAATGTTTTTTATGCATATAAAGGTACACTATATACTAAGACAAACATTTGACTAACTTATGTTAGATATACAAACCATACCTAACTGTTCTGAGTTCGTACAAATTCAACTTAAAGACCGACTTAGGAATGAATTCGATCATAATCGGGGACTGCCTGTAATCATTTTAGTAGTGCAGAACCTGGAAAGTCACATAGTTTAAGAATGATGATTCACTAATAAAAATTCGTAATATTTGGTATGCTACAAATTATGTTAGGTGGCTTTGCTTCAGAGAGATCAGTAAAGCAATTACTGATTTAATAAGTAATTAGTGATAAATTGGTAATAAGTGATAAATTAGGGTGTGAGTTTTTCCATATTCTAAGATTTACTGTAGAGTGCTTTTCAGTGGGAAATTTAGTTTTTAAAATTCCAATCAATCTGAACCAACCTTCTTCGCGCGCACACACGTATTTACATTTTTAAATGAGTTGGTGATCCTGGGCTCTGCTTTCTGGAGCAAACCTCCATTAAAGATGTTGGGGAACTTGGTACAGCACTTGAATATAGTGTTACTAATATTATCAAATCAAAGATGCCACTAATTGTAAGTAACAACTTTTTTTATGTAAACACTAAGAAAAAGTAACTGCCAGTTAAACTATTACTTGACATCAATTTTAGAACACCTCCTTGAAGATAGGTCCTGATTTTAGAGATGTTTAAATGTAAGAATGTATGCATCTTAAAATTGATAAAATCGAAAACCTATATATGAAAAAAGTGTAGACATAGAACAATTTGAACACTGATTCTCAGCCTGACCCTTGTTCCTTCTAGCTCTTGCTTCCCTTGTATAGTTATCCTTTCTTTCTCTTTTATAGTAGAGAAGTTCATGTGCCAAGTGTCTAAGAGAATGAATTTTATTTTATTGGCTTTTCTCTCCCAAGATAATTACAATATTCCCTCAGCAACCATGACTTTACCATGTACAGTTTTGAGATAGCACCACTTTATAGTCGTCTATCAAAGCGTTTAAAATTTATGGTCTTTTTTTTTTCTACTCAAGGTTCAATTTACTTGAGTAAAAGGAAACATGGTAATTATTTCCTGCTTCTTTAGGGTTTACTGGATGGTGAAGGGAAAGGAGATCTGATTATAGTCTATATTTTCAATACATAAATAGAAGACCCAGTGCAGGAAAACATGCCCGTAAGCTCCAGAGTAATGTTTGAAAAGGCAAGTTAGCCAAGACTTGAGCGGGGGAAAAAAAAGCACGAACAATGAGCTTACAAGAACAAAATATACTAAATTTCCAGCTATTAAGGACTGGTTCAGGAGATTATTTTTGAAGAAGATGTTTTAGCCTTCGTTTTCTGAAAGATTGAAGACAAGAAAGTGTTTCAAAATATAACCTACTAGAACGGGCCTTTAAGGCCAGTCCAGGTTACTTTGGAAGCAGATGCCTTCTAATTCATTTATTTACTGCAGTCAGTGCCAATTTTATTGTCTTTCTCCTGTCCGCATTTTCTAAGAGACTTTGATCTCCTCAGCCAAAGTCCTCAGGAATGTAACCAGTCATATCCTCATCTCCACTGACTGGAGAGAGATTACCAAACCCTCCCCCAGTTGTTTTCTAAGGAGGTATTGATTTTCTTTGAGGGCAGCTGTCCCCTTTCCATTTTCAGGAAGCATACCCCCTTCCTGTTGTTGTTGTTGTACTCATAGCAACCCCATGTGACAGTAGAACCACCCCACAAAGTTTTCTAGGCTATAATCTTTTTTTTGTTTGTTTTTTTATTGTACTTCAGGTGAAGGCTTACAGAACAAGTACTTTCTCATGAAACAGTAGTACACATGTTTTATGACATTGGTTAACAACCCCACAACATATCAACCCTCTAACTTCTCAACCTTTTTTTTTTTTTGGTGAAAATACACATAGCCAGAGATACACC